TATATATGTGAGGACTATCTGAGAAACACCTATACCCTTTATATATATGTGAGGACTATCTGAGAAACACCTATACCCTTTACATACTAGGGATGGTAAGATTCATCGATTTGCATTGCACCGGCATAAAAGTTCACAATGCGATTGCTCTGATTAAAAATGTGTGCACCGGATACAATCTGGGATGGATTTGCGATGCATCATTTTCAACATCTTTGCATTGGTAAAATCCAATTTATTAATATATAATTCTTTGTAGAGACCTCTGCCCTTATTATTTAGAAATGTGACCAATAATTTTATATTTAGATTGATTCCTCCCCTCTAAACTGTTTCTTAAGCACACTGTCTCATCTCCAGTTCTCCATTGCTGTCAGTGGCCAATTCTTGTCAAGTCTCTCAGCCAAGTCTCACGCGAATTGGTGCCGTGTCCGGCGATGCATCGCATCACGTTGAATTGCATTGTGGTGAATCAAATCATGTCGTATCGCACTGCATCACAATAGGGATGAATCATATTGAATCGCATGAGTAGTTGCTTCATATTTATGTTTAATCGGATCATTGGCAATGCATCGAGAAGTTTATCGCATCGACCTCAGTGATGGAGATACACATTCATATTATGTATATCTGAGGGCTATTTGAGAAACCCATACACACTTTATTTATACTGGAGGGCTATCCGAGAAGCACATATACTCTTCAGACATACGTGAGGGCTATGTGAGAAACCCATATACCCTTTAGATTTACATGAGGGCTATGTGAGAAACCCATATACCCTTTAGATTTACATGAGGGCTATCTGAGTAATACATACACCCTTTAGATTTACGTGAGGACTATCTGAGAAACACATATATCCTTTAGATATACATGAGAGCTTCCTGAAATACACTAAACATGACAGTAGGGGTGGGCAACCCTGTTTCTTGAGAGCCACAGCCAATACATATTAATTAGCACCTGAGTGACAGCTGAAACACCTGAGGGGGTGAATTACTATTTAAATAATTACTTCAATAAGGTAATCATGAGATGAACTGGAGTGAAAACAGCACACCCTGCAGCTCACAAGCACAGCAGCTGTCCAGCTCACATCCAGAATGAGCGAGCAATGTGTGAGGAGATAGTCAATGCTGGAGAAACACTGGGATGGGGGGTGGAGGCTGTGCGTGCAGAGTGTATAAAGGCAAAAGCAGTGTATAAGAAGAGCTGTCTACGGAGGCCACGGCATGCTCACAGATGTAGTAGTACTCGTGCCCCGGGCGGAACTCGAAGCCCAGCGAGAAGGGGGTGAAGAGTTGGAACTTCTCTGAGAACTTCAGCGGCCCGTTGGGACTCTGGGGCCGGTTGCACTCCCAGCGCTTGAAGCCCTTCATGTGGTGGTCGCAGCTGGTGTAGCCGTCGTAGTTGACCATGAAGAGGATGTAGCGCTCCATGCGCTCCTGCGACAGGGGGTCCTCGTAGTGCGGGCAGTAGATGTCCAGGTAGTCGTTGATGCTCACCTCCACGGTGTACTCCCCATGCAGAAACCTGCAAGGAGGCCACAGGACAGAGAAGGCCATCAGAAAAATGCAGGGGCCGATCTCCAAACAATGTGGGTGATGTTTCTCTTTAGAGCAGCGCTTCCCAATCCAGTCCTTGGGGACCCTCAGACAGTCCACTTTTTGCTCCCTCCCGGCTCTCTAGAGAGCAAAAATGTGGACTGTCTGGCAGTGAGCTGGGAGGGAGCAAAAACGTGGACTAGCTGGGGGTCCCCGATCACTTGGTTGGAAACACTGCTTTAGAAAGAGACCAGGTGGGTTTTTTTTTTGGCTAGTCTGTTGATTATTCCATGGATTCTGACAGAGATCTGAGAGTCACTTTGAATTATCCTGCAATATACAGACTCAGGTTCAAAGACAGCTTCTGTGAGTAAATGTTTCAAAGATGAGAAAATGAGTAGCACCGTGGCGAAACACTCCAAAGGATTTCTCCTTTTCTACAGTAAACAGTCATTCAAAATAACGTGATCAAAAGATACAAGAAATGTGTGACGCCATTTTGGGGAAGGATGTTCTCATAGTGAGGATACCATTTGAGCGTATGCCAGCACAGGGAAATGGGCTTGGTGGTCAGGACAATTTAGATACAAATCGAGCACCTACCACAGAATGAAGAAACAGCCACAGTATGAACCGGATTTACTTCAGTAACTCTTAGCCAATAACTCTGGCCTATGGAACATCGTTTCAGTTTCACGGTGGTCGAGGTCACGCCACGTCGATTCCTCACTCTTTCAGAAATCCCGTTCCCCATCTCTGCGCTGCATGTATTTTACTTTCACACCATTTCCCACACAATCCACAAAAGTGACGAGTCATGTTCCTTCCAGGAGTACCTTTTAATCTTTTCCACCAAGCACATATTATCGGGATGAAATGTGACGATTCCAACTGGGAGACCTGGAGCGGCCTTTTATCAGCTCTGCATTATGCTACTTTGCGATGCCGTTAAGCTGTTGCTGTGGCAAAGCAAGTATCAGATATGCAAGATATGTAAACACGGTGATGGAAGCAGAGAATGTGGCTATTTCAGGATGGCTCATGGGGGATACATCACTTAGGCTGCTTTTCTGGTATTTAGTATGTGCAAGAAACTCAGAGGACTTGACATGCAAAGAAATTTTATATTTAGTTTCAGTAGAATGATGTTAATTAGAGGTGGTGCGCGGTTCAGAAGGTCGGAGCCCCTAAGCAAGGCCCTTAACCCCTAATGGCTCTGGGGGGGTGGATGCTGGCTGACCTCGTGTCGGGACGCTCAAACTTGTATGTGTGTCTTAGCTGGGATAGGTGAAAACCCCATGGAGATCAATAAAGTGTCACTACTCTATAATTACAGAATCGTAAAATGAGACAAAATAGTAATTATTATTGTTGTAATGTGTCTTATTCCCCCCCCCTGGGTGCTGAACAGTCGCTGACTGGAGTTCAGAGCTACAACTGCTGAAGAATCTGAAGGATGAGTGATGGGAGAGAGAGAACACCCGGACAAGTCAGCTACTTTGTCCATTGGGGGGGGGGGCAGGAAAGGCATCAAATAACAGCTAATCTGGGTGTGCAGTTACCACCGGGGCCACGTGAATCATGGTTCCAGCAGCTGCATGAGGATCTTCGCCACAGCCTGGAGCCCCCCCCCCATTTCAGCCCCTCCGCCTTCTCCTTCAGCCTGACGCTCATATCTCCCTCCATCATCCCCACACTCTCACGGTGACTCATCATTACCCTTTCTCTCAGCCCCCCCA